ATTAACCAGTAAGAGCAGCAGTCTTGAATTGATCTTCTACTTCCCGAGTCAGGATGAGGTTGGGGGCTGGACAGTCCAATCTTGAAACAGTCTTATATACTTTGAAGGTGCAAAACGCACACCAAACAGAAATAAGAGCATTCAAACTATCCAGAAAAGCTTGCAACTTACTTGAATCTTCACTTAGTAGCAAAATGTCGTCTGCATACTCCAAATCAGACAGTCTACCGCTTGGGATCAGATCCGCTATCCCCGTATGAGGATAGGCTGTTTCAGGAATCACATATACGACAAAATTAAGTAGAAACGGAGAGAGAGGGTAAACCAAGAACGTGTTGAACTACTAAAAGACCTGTTCAACAACGGACACGAGATGGTCACAAACAGTACACAAGAGGTGGATAGCCGCTTTGTACGTAAAACAATCATTCGTGAGTGGTTTAAATGTGAAGTGAGCAAAGTCTGTGTACAAGGCAAGCTTACCTTCGTCCACTTGTTTACCACTGGATCATAGCGTTCGACAAAACTCAGACAAGAAACCCCATCCTGTCCACCGACGGCGTACATGAACCCATTCAGCACAGCAACCCCAACACTGGTCCGACACGTGCTAGTAGGAGCAATATCGGATGACCACTGGTTGGTATGGGGATCATAGCTGAAAAGTGAAGAGTGAAAAGACAAAGGAAAACCGACGGGTGGGGAAGAAAGAAAGTAGTCAGTTAGACCAAAAAGCAGGCAACAACGGAGGGGCATGACGGAATTGAGGTGAAATTCATCCTGATCAAGATAATTTTGTACATGAATCGAATTCTATCCAGATCAAAGCCTCTAACGAAAATCACGAACAACATCCATATAGGGGCAAAAAGGTGACGAAAAATATGGCGGGGATGAGGGAAACAATATGACTGACCGGGACTGGTAATCTTAGATTATGCCAGGCACGTTTACCAGCTTCTGGCTACGTCGATGACAGTGGCTTAAATTTTGAACCACATGACCACCATCGCAATTCATGTACTCCAGGCAATCGGGCTGGTGCATGAACACAACGAAGTGGGTCCCTTAGGTCTTGTGACTCGCGCGGAGCTCGTATACAAACAAGCGTTTCACATAGCCACTGCTGTGGAAGCTTAACTCCTTCACGTGGCGGTGTTTGTCCACCAAAGTGAGAAAGCGAAAAAACAACATCCCGGGCTATAACGGGGTCGGTGAATGCCCAACATTACTTAGGGGTTTTGACAGAACATTCTGATTTTAACCATGTGTAGGAATCAAACGAACTCCTTCATGGTTGTTGTATTGGTCACCGGCTTGACTGGATATCGAGGTGCACGAAATGGTTTGAGAGTTTGCCTCCGTCCTGAGGACGTATGTCTAGATTAACTGGGCATCGATCTGTAATGTATTGCATTTTTTACGCACCATCCCACTTTGCGGGTCACACTTTCGTTATCCGAAGGCCCCGGGTGTTAATCCTTAAGAATATCCAGCTGCTTCAACCTGAGAAACCTGAAAGTATTTTACCCAAGAGCAAATCATGAATCCATTTCTTTGTTACCGTGACTTGTTTGACACAGTCTGAACTCAGACGCGTGTAAAACATATCATGAGATAGAATCATGAAATATTGCCAAAGCAGCATGTTCTGAAAGTTCCGTTTTTGGAATGATAGTCGCCAAGCCCTACTTCATACGAACGAAGGCATCACGCACACGGTGACAGGAGTAGATTGTCGTACATAAATAGGTCATACATACATTCCGGGTTATTGTACAAAAGGAAATAAAAATGTAATCAGGACTAATTACCTTAAAGCTCACAATGTATAGTCCAAATGAAACCGGAGGGTTGCATGAGCCAAATAA